CGTCTAATTGGTTGAATTCTTTTCTCAAATTTTGGAAGCTATCCTTCGTTAAATTGGATGCCAACTCGTCCAAACTGGCACCCAGGAATCTCAAAGAGTCGATGAATCTGAATTTAATACCGGTTTCTGTATTGTGTTGGGTGAAGGAAATGTATTTCCCCATATTTATCGGAAGTACGCTCACCTGTCCACGTTTGGCAATCTCTCTCAGAAGGAAATGAGAATCATATCCAGAAAAATTGTGGAATACTATGGGCACTACGAAGGACTTGCGGTACCCCAAATTACAAGATTGATGTGCCCACCCCCTGAAGGCACCAGTGAAATGATGGTGGTCTTTAACGATGATATCAGTGCCCGCAAACGCCTTTTCACAGATATGGCAGTGTGTTACACCAACCTTATCTGGGAAATGAGTCAGAGGAATAATGTCTTTGATTTTGGATTGTACAAATTTCGCGACATCTGCCATTTCTGTGGCAAACCAATCCATGCAATCAGGACCTCGATGACTCTTGTAATAGGACAAGCTATCATCATATGAGCATTTGAAATAGTACCCTGCGCTGAAGGCTGTGTGTTTTTGATATTTTGACATTTTTTGAGAAATTTTGTCATCACAGTGCTCCAAAACCGATTCAAAATCACCGTAGATGATGAATTCGGCCTTTTGCTTATATATATGATTTTTGAAAACAACCGAATCGTATTTAGGAAATGAAATTTTGCACTCGTTGACATTTTCGCATACAACACTGTGCTCTGCCAATTTGAATTCGCTCGAAAAATAATTCAGACACCTATCACAGAAATGTTTTCTCCCATGATTCTTATTGACTTGTGAAGATAGCAGCCTGGACATGTCTTTAATCCAACAGTAATGATAACTTATATCTTCGTCGTAATCATCTTCAGGTAAGGCATCATAATCATTGGGCTTGGGGAAATATTCACTTTGAATTAGTAGTAAATTGACATGTCTGGGCTGCTTATGTTTTGTAAGTTTTATGGGTACTACTTCAAAATACTCTGCCTTTTTCACATGAATCAGTTCCAAGGCGTAAACGTTCACCGATATATCATTGAGTTTTTCAAATTTAGGAATATTGTTGAGAGTGATGGGTACATCCAAGCCTGCGGTATTCAAAACTTGGCTGTAATGAGGATACGAGCTGGGCCTGTCTACATTACGGTTAGCAGGATGTAGAGCGCTCACGATACTCCAGAAGAAGCATGCCTGATCAATGTTTTTCACATTGATGCATGCACGCTTTTTCAAGATTTTCTCTGGCAGCTGGATATAGGATGAACCATTACCAATCTCTAATTTATTCACATTAACCTCTAAAGAGATAATTTCCCTCAAGGCCCAGCCACTGCCCTTCTCCTGGAATTCCGAAAGTTTATTTACTATAGTATCAATCACATTATCTGCGAACCAACAATCTACATCCGTTCCTTCATCCATTGAGGCATTCTTCGTACTGAAATATTTATATTCGATACTCTCCGCGTCACCCGATTTCTTGATAAACTCACCACAGAAGGTGGTATTGACTTTGAGCATGGTTAATTCTCTCAATATTTTTTTAATTTGAATTTTGAAAATGTGCGATGCGTCCTGCAAGAATTGCATCAACTCCTTATGACTTAAATTGATTATAACAGCCGTCCTTACTCTACTCTCAAAAACAGATTGAACAAGTCTCCATGTAACTCTATTTTTACGATTGCCAAGTCCCGCCCCAATATGATTCTTTTTCCTAATCAAACTTTGAAAACGTTTCAAATGCCCCACATTTGTTTCTAATTTTCTCAAAACCCCTGCTGTCGAATTGGTCCCCCTGATTGCCCTATTCAATTCTCTTATATGTGTCCCTATTTGCCTATTCCATAACAGTCTCTCTTCTGCAGATATGTTCGTCTTCTTTCTCAAAATTTCCACTTTTCTTCTACATTCCTCAACAACGGCATCACTAGTAGAAGCAATACTATTGACATTCATGTTGCGAGAAATATCAACTGATAATATTTTACTCACCACTAATTTTTGGTAATCTCAAAGAGGACTGCAGGTCCGGTGTCACTCCTCTTGTGAATCAGGCTGTATTTGCCTGGGGTGAAAGCCGAAAGCTGAGGCTTGAAGATGCCAACTACCCTCCTTGGCAGAAAAACGCTAGATGCCTCGAGTTCCACCACAATAGCCTCCCCAAACCGTGTCTGGACCACCCTGATATTTTCAATGGGGTGGGGCTGGTTGATGGGCAAACTACTTAAAGCGACAGTTGGTTTGAAGGCAGCAGCTTGAGCGTTAATAGCTGAAACATCCATCTGATAAGAAATTTACTACTGCTAGTATTGGGTGGAATGATCACTAGTCACAAATAGGGTCGACCACATGGCCTTGAAACGTAATAAATAAAGAACTCACCTTTCAGCTGGCACAACCCACGCACAATATAACAGACAAGAGCAACCGAACAGACAGGAGCAACCAAACAGAAAGGAACAGGTCGACCGACCAGTGTCAAAGTTCAGAATGGAATGACGTCTACGAACGTTCTGACCGCCTTATATAGGGCTTGAGGTTGTGACGTCATCGACCACCTGCAAACAACGGAGGTATTGTTCATGAGGCAAATTTCCAAACAGCTGACTCGACGAAATTCCAAGAAACGCTGACAGTCAGTGGTGACAGGAAGTAGATAGAGGTACTCTTTCAGGTTGTCTCCCAGCTAGCATTATTGGATGACTCATCGGCCACCTGCGTCAGAACAATGGACCCATTGTTCTCACACAGATAAGGATGATGCAATCGGATGAGGTTGTTACGTAATCGGACACCTGCAAACAAAGGCGGCATTGTTCTCGTATATTGCGTCGCAATTTCCCAATAGCCGGAATTCCAAGAAACGCTGTGGCATAGAGAGAACAAAGGCGGCATTGTTCTAGAGGAAGGCTAGATAACATATGGCAAACAAAGGAGGCATTGTTCTACGAAGTCGAGATAAGGATGACTCATCGGCCACCTCTCCAACATGCATATCGGGTGACCTTGAAACAAAGTGCTACCAATTGTAGTAATACCAACCTAAATCTGGTGAGCACAGTCAATAGATTGTGACGTCATCCACCACTTTTCAAAAAGAAGAAGAAGAATGTCCTAGGACACGCCCATAAGCACTAGAGTCTAGAGTCCAGGGGGCTAAGTGCAGCCACGTGTCATCTGTCATTCCTTGTGTTCCATGTCATCTGTCACTTGTCATCTGTCATCTGTCATCAATCATCGGTCATCATCGGTCATCATCGATCATCATCGGTCATCATCGGTCATCATCGGTCATCATCGGTCATCATCGGTCATCATCGGTCATCATCGGTCATCATCGGTCATCATCGGTCATCATCGGTCATCATCGGTCATCATCGGTCATCATCGGTCATCATCGGTTATCATCGGTCATCATCGGTCATCATCGGTCATCATCGGTTATCATCGGTCATCATCGGTCATCATCGGTCATCATCGGTCATCATCGGTCATCATCGGTCATCATCGGTCATCATCGGTCATCATCGGTTATCATCGGTCATCATCGGTCATCATCGGTTATCATCGGTCATCATCGGTCATTTGTCATCGAAGGCCCTTTCAGTCATTTCGAAAGGGTAGGTTAGAGGAGTAATGTTAGGTTAGGTTATCGGTCACGTGTCTGTCACTTGTCATCTGTCACCCGTCATCTGTCACTTGTCAGTGAGAGATGTCGATTGTCAGCTGCTGCGACCGTAGCGCCACCACCGCCATCTGGTGGTGGAAATGTGAACTAGTGAGCCCAGACGAACGTAGGTACACTACTTATTTGCTTGTTCTGTTCCTGCAGTATTGCGGTCAGTTTCTCATTTTCTTTTCTGATGTTATGATTAATTTCATCCTTAATTTTTTGTCCTTCTGTGGTAATAGCTTTTAGAAGTGTTTGCAATAATTCTTCGTTTGAGAGTTGAGTCATTCCGCGCTATTTTAGATCAACCGATGGTGGAATAGTTTAGCGTTCGTGTTATTGTTTGTGAATGTCAGATACGGCCACTTTAAACTTGTGTTTTTGCTTGAAACTCGTAATTATTACTCACTTATTAATATTCAGTTGTCTTCTTTACGACACATTTGTTCACACTTCACATGCTCAGAATTTTATTCTCCTTAATTCAACAGTTTTGTACTGATTAGGTAGGTGATGTTAGACTTCAACTACGCGGTTTAGCACCGTACTTTCTGTCTGATATAATCCTCATATTGCTGTTCTAGTACTCGTTTTCCATTTTCATCAGAATGTTGGTATGATGTGCAAAACTCACACTGGTCTTTTTTAGGTGAAAAAAACGCAATGTTATATTCTTCATTGAAAATTTCTGAGTACATTACATGATTTACTGGGGTAACATTTTTCTGACTGCATAAAATCTTATAGTCTCGATGTAGGTCCGCAATTGTTTTTCCACCTTCAATAAATTCGTTCGTGGTATGTGCACGACAATAGTGACTCGGAATACGTGGAATTGATTCAATATGACTTCGCACAGCAGCCTTCATATCATGGGATAAACATTTATGTTTACCATGCTTGCCACGAAAATCAGTTGCGAGAATTTGCCCAACATTAATATGGCGTTTATTCAAAACTGTTCTTATAGGGCGATCATTGATGGATAGAGTATTTTTGAAGAACAGCTTACATACTCGAATTTTTTTTCTCCAATTTCGAAATAAAACGCGTTGTTCGGTTTGCGGTGACTGTTTTCCCTTACATATCGGTATTTTGAAGTAATAGTTGTCATGCTAGCTGAGATGAAATCACGTTGTCTTTGAAGATCAGCGAGTCGCCAATAGCTGTCAAAAATGCATTTTCTTTCTTGTTCGATGAATTTTGTGTAACACTTCAGTTTACATTCTTCATCACAAGGTGGTAGAAGTTGCCTTTCTCTGATGATGGTCATACTCTTACTACATGAAACATAAGTCTTTCCACTGTTTCTCATTTTTTTTTGCATGATTCTCCTTCCAAGACTCTGGCGCTGCTTTTCTTTTCCTAGTTTTTTTCTTGACTTCTGGATCTGATTCTGAAGTGTTTTCGGAGACATTGTTTTTGATTGTTTCCTCATTTTCACTTCCGCTGGATGAGCTGGAGGAAGAACTAGATGTTGATGATTCTGAAGAGGATGAATGTAAGGCAACATAGTCCTTGTCACGAACAGAATCATCAGAGTCCTCATCGAAATCGCTCAAGTTTTTTAATTTTCCATCGTATTCTCATTTGCTAGTGCATCACTTCCATTTACTTCAGGTTCGGCCAACAATATTCCAGATGTAACGCCAAGAACAGCTGAAACAAAATAATCCGAATGTTGAAATATTATACTTGCTGCAATTAACTTCAACTAACAACATTCAGTATCTTCTGGGTTTTGTTCACCTATGTTCGGGTCTTTGTTTTCATCATTGCTTGAACATGGGCCATCTGATATTGAGATATCATCAGTTGTAGGTCGAGAAGGTACTTTGGGAGCTTCTAGAACAAAAACGAACTCAAATTATTCTGAACATTGGGTACACTCACGTCTTCCAACCATTATTGAGGACATCACTTTCTTGATCTTGCTTCGAACTTGTTTTGGTTTACTCGTATTTGATTCCTCTAGACATCTCCAAAATTCGTAATGTTTGATTCGCCATTGTCTGCACAATATCGATGAAATCAATGACTTGGAATATTGTTTTATCGAATTCAATTATCAAAAGACCATAATTAATAGAACTTATAGCAAAAAATAAAGAATTTGGGTCTATTTTGGGAAACAAGATGATACAACACAAATAAAAATTATGAAAAGCATCACAAGATACCATGAAAAGTGGCACATTTCGAGATATTATGATTCATAAAAAAATTGAATTCTCAAATAAGACCTTTTCGAGAACGAAAATGACACAACACGAATAATTATCATAAAAATCCACATAAAATACCATGAGAAGTGACACATTTCGAAATATTGTGTTTGAAGAATAAATTCAATTATTTTATGAGTACTCACCAATGTCTAAACTGCCACAACTCTAATTATGTCACTATTGCACAATGTTCGTTGAATTAAAACTCACGAAATTTAGCGGAATATTGACACAACTCGGAATATGTCACTGTGGCGCATTTTCGCACTGACCAATTTCGATTATTTGTTTGCACTTTTGGGAATGTGACGTTTTTCTACATAAATGGGTCGACGTTTCCACTCGGCGGATAACTCACAACTAAATAAGCCGCTGTTCCACATCGGCGCGTAGCGAGATCGTTATACGAGAAAAGTGACACATGCACTATCTATCGGTTAATCATAGAAGCTTTCATGTAACGATTTTCTAGTGATGAATTCAACTATTTTGGAACCATTTCTTGGAAGAATCAAGGATTTCAAGATTTTTGAAAAGTGACACTTTTTTTCGGATGAGCGGACTCTATCCGTCTAACATTGATTCTGATCAACCTGATTTAAAGATGCAACTGTGAATTGGAAGGATTATGACAAAAAAAATGCATCTGCCCAACTTACAGTTACAACTGAGTTTTAGACAAATATTCAAGTTTTTCAAGAATGGCAGTTCCGACGCGTCGTAGGATTGACATATTCCGTGATACTCTTGTGGAAGTAAGGTGCGTTCATTTTTAATACATCGTTTATATTATATACAACGGGCTCTTACTATGTGTTTACTCTGTAGTATTTTGATAATTATCATTATATAAATGTTATATATGGAGTCAATAGTCGAATTCAGATTATATGCATTCAATGTGGCTCACAAAACCAATATTATTAACAACTCAACTTATCTATCTATACATAGCAACCTGAAACCAACGTGGAATATTATACTGAAGGTTCAACCATACTCAATACACAACACTCCTCCCTTCTAAAAAACATCACTTGGTATAATTTTCTGAATATTGTGGAGGCCGACGAATCCTTGTTGGTCTTCCTGGCGCCTCGAGGCTTATATCACCCTCGCCTTAAGTACTTGGAAACCTGGCAGTATGTTCTCGGTTGGGTACTTCAATGTCCATCTCCATAGGTCTTGGACTTGGTTCACTCGTGTCGAGGGCATCACCACCATCCTCGTGTCTGAATTCACGACTTCTCAGTTGATCGGCATGTCTTCTTATCATTTTTCCTTCTTGAGTGGCCACCTTGTAACTGAAGGAACCAGTAACTCCAACGACTGTTGGAGGTATCCATCTTTCACCAGGTGTGGAGGAGCGAGCATAGACGCCTTCATGCTCCCCAAAAGTTCGAGGAGTCGATGTTGGCTGACATCTCGTTTTCTGCTTTGTTACCATTTTTTTTTTCAAATCAGGTGTTAGAGGCGAGGTTTTGGTAAGCAGGGTTCATGAAAACGATTTTCTACTTGCCACTTACCCTCCCAGCTGCTCAGTTAGGGTGTGAGTACGTTTCATGAATTTTCGAATTATATGAATAATATGTAGTATATAATAAAAGAGTTAATTTTTTGTTCGCCAGTTGAAATCAGAAATCACCCTGATGAAAGGGATGACGACTGCTATCGATAGAGTCAATACTCTACAATTATCTGGTGAACTTCACGAGTACCCTGGGGTTAGTTAATGAGGAAATGATAGTCAAAAACCTGGAAAACTTGTTGAATACAAGGCAGGGGCTCTGAAGTTATGAAAAAAACTTACGAGTATGAAAATATCAAACCTCAAAACGAAACTTACTTTGGCTTTATATCCTGCAGAGCAGAAAATATGATATCTTTCAGAATACAACAACAAAAATCCAATATTGATCCGATACGTAATTAATCATATGATGTTGAAATTCTTCAAATCCATACGAAGATGATCGAAAGATTCGATGAAGAAATTTCAATCAGCCATTCACCCTCACAAGTACCAAGAAAAAATCAAGAGTGAAACATCGAAATGTAAGATATCAAAAATATGAAATGTCACTGCTGTCAATTGCAGACTTCATATGATGAACAGCAGGAGAGTAATGTTACTCTTTTATCTCACTGAATGAACCAGAATGACAAATCATCGATACACGAATTATTATTATGGGTTGTTGCTGAATGTATTTCATCAATACGCGGAACTGGTTCCTCAGATCATATAGAAATCTGAGAATAATTCTGTGACATATCAAAATTGAGGAACGGTGCAGACAGTATTTTCGTAATGACTGATGACTTTTGGCTGCTGGTTGGCGCTGAATAGTTTACGAGGATGGTGCGAGCAGACTCCCAGTGTAAAATTGATCATCCACGAACACTTTCGTCGTATTACTGAATTTTGAAGGGTAAGAGGTAGCTGTGAAATTCTTTCGGAAGGAAATGGTTGTTATCCCTTCAACCCTGCTGAGGAGGCTTAATATAATGAGGTTTGTGATAAAATCTAGTTTTCAAAGTGCCCCATTCATTCTATAGGAGTAGAACACCACTAGACTGAAGTGGAAGAGTGTTCAATGTATACTAAATTTTATGAAAAACATCACAGGTGCTGTTCTGGTGTGGCAGTTACGAATTTGGCCCCTTTTTATAATTAACAAGCAGTTGGGTGTTTTTCCTACTGATAAGGAATATTGTATAACACAGGACTGTTGTCTATACCTCGATGATCACCTCAGTTCACATAGAACTTTCACTTAATCAAAAAGAATGGCCTATTTATTAAGACTTTTGTAGATTGATGGTAAACTTTCAGTAGACTGATGACGTTATTCTGATAGATCTTGCAACATCCAGGTAGTGGTGCCTCAAAATAACTATAAGACGCTCACCAGAGAGCAGGATCTTAGTTTACTGTGTGAAACTCCCACTTATACCACCATCTTCTGAACAGTTCAGTCCAGGATGGCTCAAAGCAGTAAGATGCTGTAGATCCTATAGTGACTACTGCAGGCAAGCAGTCAGCAGCTAGCTAGTTGGACTTTTTGTTTGACAACCAAGGAATCAATCATACAGGGCACGAAACTTGTAACTCCAACTTGATAGCCTTAGACTAGATCATGTAGGTTAACCAAAAAACTCCAAGTAAACCCAGAAGTCCAATTACATCAAGTATCCAAGTACCTCAAAAATCTCAGGTACCTCAAGAATTCCAAATACCTCAAAGAGCCCTTAAAAGAGAAAACAATTGTAAACCTATTTTCATCTTGCACAGAGACAAAACTTCAATAATAGTTATTAAACATTCAATAGTCACAGTTGAAAACTTGAATACTATATGGGACAGATTGTAGCCTACTTTTCTCCACTTTGAAATAATTATCAAAAGAATAAAAAAATAAGTTACACATATGCTAACGGCAGCTTTTCATCGGAGAGCAGATAAGTGAGTTCGTTCTAGTAATTTCATTTAAAAATTCAAGTATAGAGGGCGCCACTCAATTTGCTAAAAAATATATATGTTCAAGAGAGAAATTGAGAACATCACTGAGGTTCCAGGAGTATTGATGAGAGAATATTCTGGAATAAAAATCACAAGTATTTTCCTGGATTGTTGAGACACATGATGAGATGAATAAAACCATTTAAAATTTAAAACCTATTTAATGTACCAAAAAACAGACAGAGCTTCAAAATCGCTGCAGAGGACAGCCTAGGGTTATATCAAGGTAATTCTTAAAAAAATGATATTGCAGTAAAAATTGATGACAATTATACAGCAGTTCTCGAAAATTATATCATATAGTGAATGATCATACAATTATAACAAATAATGAAAGTGAAATAAGTGAAATCATCATAACCCACAAATCAAACAGGGTAATATACTGATACTGTGTAAAGGTGCGCAATCAGAACTACTGCCTCATAGTACTATGGGGAAGAGTGGGCACTTGGGGTGTTAAAAGTGGTGATGATAATTTCGAGTAATATGAAAATTTGAAAAATCCCTAAATCCCTAACAAAAACCTGGCAAAATATGGTATGGTGACAAGTCCTCTTCAGAGATCCTGTGAAGCTCCTATCACAGGCTGCTTGGTGGCATGGCGTGCAGCATAGGTCACTGCAGGCACGATGAAACGACGAACGACGAATCCCTGGAATGGGGAAGGTATCCCCTACCAGCCCACGGGGCTAAACCCCTCTGTTCCTCCTTCCTGGCGTCCCTAGATGATGTAACAAAGGGGAATAGCCCAGTATGTCGGCTTCCCCTTATGGTGACCATCAACCTGATGAACCTCCTGCAGTCTGCTCTGGCCAGGATCCAATGGCCTAGAGGGATCTACGCTGACTGGAGAGTCCTGGCGAGGGCGGAAATTAGGGCTTCTAAAAGGGACGGTCGAACCCGCCAAAGGAAAGCAGAAGAGGCTGGCAGAAGCATCTCACCCCCATCTCACAGAAAACATTCAGGCTATCCTAAAACCCTATTGAAAAAAATAGGCCATAACTTCTCATTCCGCACTATACAATCAGCCCCACTGAACCTCAATCAACGTCTTCGAAATATCGACTTACCTTCTGAAGAAGGGCTAGGAGAGTCAAACCGGGTACCATGCTGTCGGCGTCCCATCGCTGGTGGCAGTTCCAACGTGGTGTC